GTTAACATATTGTGTAGTGCAAAAGCCCATTTATAATCTCTTAAGTGCATTGTGATAGTTGACCTTAACCAGGTCAGCAGTTGGACACTATTTACCATGATTATAACATACAGACTATTGATTTTTAACTTCCAGTATCTGATTGTTATACCTGAGAACTTTCATGGACTAAGATTTTTTTTTAAAATAAAGAAGGACTGAAAATGTCTGCCATGATCACCTAGCCCCAGGTTGAGATAATGCAAGGAGACCCATATAGAACAAAATAAGTCTGCACTAAAATTAGTGCTTTACCAAATAAATCAAAACTAGACAATTGAATCAGCATCAAGAAATTTGTTCCTCCTGTTTTAATTCACACTTGTATGATATTTCACATATTAGGAGATGAAAAGCTCATCTGAAAGTTAGTCAGCTTGAGAAAGCAATGAAGCTAGGCTGAGGAATACACACCAGATTATATTGTGAACTGTATGAGATACTGGTTCAACTGGGCCTGTATGTCCTGCAGTTTAGGAAAATGAGAGGGATCTGACTGAAATGTATAAAATTCCAGCAGGGTTAGACAGATTTGATGCAGGGAGGATGCTTCCACAGGCTGACAAGCTTGAAGTGAGGGGTCACAGTCTCAGAATATGGAGTAGGTCATTTAAGACTGAGATTAAAAAAACATTTCTTTACTCAGACAGAGGTCAACATATGCAATTTCCTACCTCGGAAGGCTTTAGGGGCTAGGTCACTTAGTATATTCAAGAAAGAGATTGATAAATTTTTAATTTTTTTTAAATTCACTTTAGGACGTGGACATTGCTGCCTGGGCTGGTGTTCATCAGCTGTACCTAGCTGACCTTGAGAAGGTGGTGGTGAGCTGTCTTCCTGAACTGCTGCAATCCAGGTTCTTTGACTGGAGGCACAATGCTGTTAGTAAGGGGATTCCAGGATTTTGACCCAGCGACAGTGAGGGAATGGCAATGGCAATATATTTCCAAGTCAGGATGGTGAGTGGCTTGGAGGGGCACTTGCAGGTGGTGGCATTTTCACGTATCTGGTGCTCTTGTCCTGGAATTGGTCACCCATGTCAGAATACCTCCATGAACAGCAGGATGTAGGGTCTTCACTCTGCTGCCTAACATTTCGGGAAAGTCAGCAATCTCAGAGACAGAAAGTGCTTGTCTAAGGATCTCTCACGAATATCTAGGGAGTATTCTGTCACACTCTTGACTTGTGTCTTGTAGCTGGTGGTTTTAAGGAGTCAGGTGCGAGTTACTTGCTGCAGCATTCCGAGCCTTTGACCTGCTCTTATAGCTACTGTATTTATATGGCAAGTCTAGTTCAGTTTCTAGTCAATGATAAACCCCAAAATGTTGATAGTGGGGGATTCAGTGACAGTAATGCCATTGAACGTCAAGGGGAAGTGATTAGATTGTCTCTTATTGGAGATGGTCAGTGCCTGGCATTTATGGTGCACATGTAACTTGCCACTTTTCAGCCCATGTCTGGATATTGTTCAGGTATTGCTGCATTGGTCACTGGAATATTGCTCCCTTTAACTAAGGAAATATATATCAGCATTGGAGGCAATCTGGAGGCCAATCCAGAGTATGGAAAGATTTTATTATGAAGAAATGTTGAAAAGGTTGGAGTTTAGGACATTGAGAGGAGACCTTACTGAAAAACATAAGATTCTTAGGGAGTTTGACAGGGAAGATGCAGAGTGATAGTTTCCCTTTGAGAGTGTCTAGGACCAGACAGCATAATCTGAGAGTTTGGGACCACCCATTTAAAACAGAAATGAGGAGGAGTATTTTTTTTCTCTGAGGGTGAATCTGTGTAATTCTTTATTGCAGAGTGTTAGGTCAATAACAATATTCAAGACTGAGATAGTAAGGTAATCAAAGATTATGGGGAAAATGTAGGAAAGTCAGATCGAGGATTATCAGATCAGCCTCAATCTCAGTGAATGGCAGGATGGATTTAATGGGCTGAATAGTCTATTTCTGCTCCTTTGCCTTATGTTGTTATGATCTTATTTTCCTATCTCCTGAAAAAGCCATTCTTCACAACCTCAAAAAAGTAAGATCCAAAACATGTCATATTTTAAATATATTTGCAGAAACAATCCCAGTAAATAACAAGTTACAAAGTCTGTATCAAGGCCTGATTTCAGTAAATGTGTGCTAAAACCACACTGCTAATTATTATTTGAGCAAACTTTCAAAGCGTAGTTGAAACAGCAGTAGGAATGCCAATGGTTACTTCAGGGGATGAAGTTTGGTGCCAGAACCACAGAAATGGCCCTGCATGGGTACAAGGTGAGGTCAGATCCCACGACACACAAAGTTCAGGTAGGTGAGGCAGTCCTGAATAAACATATGGATTACCAGAAAGCTGCTGTCTTGCAAATGGGCAGGAGCAAAACATACATGGCCCCTCAGAACAGCCAGAAAGACTATCGGAAACTAGGAGTTCTCCCCACTCCGTCTAACATCAAAGAAACCTCAGAGTCTGGGATGGATGCAGCCTCCATTGCGTTACTGCATAAAGAAGCGGAGGAAACTCTCCAGAGATGCTTCGACGCAAGAGATGGGCTACTGTCCAGTACATACTGCTCGAGTCCAAGTCAGTCAGGGGAACCGGACCGGAGACAAGAACGTCCCAGGAGAAGCTACCAAAAAAAAAAAAAAAAAAAAAAAACAGGCCTACATCCCTGGACTTCAGTGGGGAGGAATGTAGTGATTGAAACGAGGGCCAAGTGGATCTTGTTCAGGGCTGATCCAAAATCACATGCCTCTGCCAGTTGTCTTAATGTTGTCAAAAATCCTGATACAGTTTCCTCTGGTCCTTGAACTGCCAAATAAAACCAATAGCATCTCAGAATTAGAGAAGGCTTGGGGTCATAATATTCCTTAACTAAATCCATCAATTCTTGAAAGGTTTTAGTATCAGATGCCTCAGGGAAAGTTATGTTCCTCATAACCGAAAATGCTGCAGGTCCGTAAGCAGTCAGAAGGATTACTCATTGCTTTTCATCTGCCCCAATGTCATTCATCCGGAAAAAATAAAATATTCTTTCCGCATACTGGGCCCAGTCTTTGACAGCGGGATCGAATGGGTCAAGCTTCCAAAATAAAGGCAAGATGCCAGAAATGCTTACCGCAACTCAAAGACGACTGTTGCAAGCAAAGTTTCCTCAGCCAAATACTGTTTTCTCTCGTCGCCACTGAAAGAACTGCACTGAAGCCTGTATCCTGTCACCAAGTCACTCTTTATTTACACGTGCACAGTAAATGGGCTCTGACCAGCCAGCTCAGAGCCAGTCCCTAGAATGAGGAGAATCTGTGAAACTTCTGTTTATATCTATCACCCAGGGCTCCCTGATTGGCTCAGGGTAACAACCTCAATCAAGGATCACACAGTCAATGAGATCCACCTGGCCTTCATTCCAATCACTATAGTAATTTTAATCTTCTCTGAGATGAAATCAAGAACAATTGAACATCTCACAGGAAAACAGCCTTACTGAAAAGGCTTGCTGGACTGTCACTAGCATTACTACAAACAGTACTGCAGGCAGAGCAGATCTTTTAATGACTCCACCACTCACCAGCTCCACCCCAACAAAAAAAATTATAGGTTTTGTCCAAACATAAGAATTTTTTTATTTTCCCTTTCCAAATAAAGCATAAATCCACTGCTTTACACAACTTCTGGCATATTGACATACTAGCTCCTCCATTAACAAGTAAATTCAGGCCTCATTTTGTATGAAGTATAACCAGGAAGGTATGATTCCTGGCCTGCACTGAGCTAACTGATCTCAGCCAGACTTAAATTATCCTAACTGCTTCGGGGCTAGGGTAGAATTCAATTTGATCACTATCAAATTCACTGTCTATAGAACAAAGGTTATTTTAAATTATCAACTGTAAAGCCTTGAGGTGTCCTGGAGATGTGAAATGCCACGACACGTACAGTTTATTTCTAGCCAATGACCCTCTACTAGAAAGTATGTGTGGAATGTCTGTCAACAGCGAGGTAGAAACAGAACTATACTTATGATCGTCAAAGATTACAACCAAACAGAATATTTTATAGCAAACTGCAAGGTAAACAAAGTTTACTTACAATGTCTATTTCAACACTCTCTATGACCTCCAGCAAACAGAATTAATATCTGTAAAACTGATCCCATACACTCATTATTAGAGTCTCCTGACATGATTGACAGGTAAATTATCCAATTATCTCTATTCTAGATGATGCCAAGTGTCTTTGTGCATGAATTCCAAGTACAATACCATTGGGTTAGGCTTTAAATGTTCCTAATCATAAGATATCTGCAGGCTACAGCACCCATAGAAATACTCCTTCAATTTTCACAGTGTCAAATGGCATTGTGAGTGAATGCAGTAAACCTCATACTGTATTGCTGAATGCATCCAATTGCAGCATGCATGCAAAAGAGCATTTTAAATCACTTTTTAGTATTTAAGACATGCTAATGAATGGAGCCTTCAAGTGCTGATGATTAGCGCACTCTCTTTTCTGGGGCCTCAGTTTGAATTCTGTCAGAATAAAGAAATGAAAATTTCTCTCTTGTACTAATTATAAGGCCCCAAGATGATAAGCCAATTTACTACACAAAAATGATTGGGCATGAATTGACAATGTCTTAATTGTCTCACTAAGTCAGCATCAGAGTAGTTGGTCTGAGAAATAGTTAAAATTAAGGGATATCATCGGGATAGGCTGAAGGGAATTTTATTCTAGTAAAACTGATAGATTGCTGTCACTGTACTTGTTCAATCAGAGATAATTCTCAAGTTGATAAACTGCAAAACACAATTACAAAATAAAGCCCATGAACTCGGATAGGGTGAGTACAATACCAAAATATTTATCCAGAACTTGTAACCAAGTTTATAAACAACGGTAAATAGAATCACAAAGTTAAGTCCAAAATTCCATTGTATGCGTACATATTTTCATCCTTTCCTCAGTTGGATATGGCCTGTGGTTTTGTTGTGTTTTGAAAGATGAAGGTGATATTTTCTTTAGCTTTTTCAAGAACAGGATCAGGGAAGTGTTGAGTTTCTCCAGAAAAGTGCTTCCAGTACATCAGATCTGACATAGAAAGGTGTTTATGGGAATCAGACGTCTCTGAATTATGGCCAAGTTGGCAGGCTCTAGGAGTCGCAGCCTTTTTAGCAGTGAGATTAACTGGAATGAAAGCATCAATTCATTTAAATAATAGAGTTTCATATGAACCTTTTTATATTTTCAGAACTGTTCTGACAGTTAAAACTGGTGAAGTCCAGCCTTTAGCTATAACACATTATCAAGCATTCACTTTGGGAAATTTCATAAAGAAGCTGATGATGCAACTAAAACGAGGGTAACCAGAGTCTGCAGTAAAAGAAAGGACCTTAAGAGAGGGCAAATCAGGAGGAAGAAATTTGGCTTAAAAGAAACAGGTATAGGAAATCAGGAAATAATTCAAATCAAGGGGAAAAGGCAGCAGAATATGAGAAAAGCAAATAAATTAAATCAAGCTGATTTTTAAAAGATCACAGAATGAAATATACTATAGTAAAGCTTAGTTAACATACCGTAAGTTCAATATATCAACAAGAGTAAAGGGAGGGTTTCCAAGGCAGCTCCAGGCCAATCTTAAAAGCTACTTATGTGCTGCAATTTATATAATGGCTTGGCCTTTTAGACAGTGTGATAACACCAGGATGATGATGCTTCGAACAAAATTACCTCACTGTCAGCCAACAATTTAACTGACCAATGAACATTCCAGTTCTGCCATCAGTGATACTAAGGAAGATTCAGCAGTCAAGCAACATAGCTAAACCCAGTAACGCAAAGAAAACTGATGGTGCCAACATAGTGAACAACGTGCATGTTTCTGGATAGGAACATTTTAATTTTTCTTCATATTAATCCTATAATGGAATAAATTAATGCCAGAACCAGCGAGGGAGATTGGTGGAAATTATTTTTGTTTTATAGATTAAGCAATAAAAATAAATCTGGAACTAAACTGGAGATGTGGATTAGAGTCACGTTGGCAGATTTGGGTCAATGTGATATCCCAACATGTGATAAAGGATAGGACTGAGTGTGTGTGTTTGCTGGGTAAGAAACTCTAAATCTTCAATTCATATTAGCCTAATTTAGTTGGTAGTTGACATTAAAATGAAACCTATAGTTTGAAATATGTAGAAGCTAGCCTTAAGCAAGGTTTTGCAGTGAAAGAGCAGACTAATTAAGAACAAGCTGAAATTGAACCCTCATCAATTGACTTAGCTAGGCCTTTCATGTTTGGGATATATACATTCAGCAAGTAAACTCAGTTCAAGTTATTTTCTGAGTAAGAAAGTCTCAACCTACAATTTGTATAAATCTAACTCCGTTTAATTTAGCTTGTCGTTGGATGAAACTGAAATCTACAGTTTAAATTCTGTAGGTGCTAGCCGCAAAAAGGTTTATTTCTTCCAAACTGTGCAGTGAAAGAGATTAATTAAGAATCAGCTGAAAGTAGAACATCATTGAGTGACTCAGATAGACCCTTTTTGTTGGGAGCATATACAAGTAGCCAACTTAATGCAACTTAGCACCTGAAAGTGAAACAGGGTGTGCTGGAGTTGAGCATCTGAAGGAGTTAAGTGGAGAAAGGAGAGGGGTGTTTGGCTGTTTTTTCATGAACAAAGTAGCTGATTGGTGAAATTAAAAATTTTCTTTCCAAAGACATACATGATATTCACTGTGTTGGCATCAGCAACCACTTTGTGCCCAAAAGACAAGTGATTGTTGAGTATTTCTAGTCTTTAATGTAAAATTAAACTATTTAGTTTGCCAGTTCTTTCTTTTTCTCATTTTTTTCTTATAAATAGTTTTTGAGATCTAAAATCAGTGGGAAAATGAATTGGAATAAAGGATAAAGTGCAAAGTTAAATGAAATATAATATGATAGAGATGGCAGGTCACATGTTGCATTTCTACTGCAGCATATAGGAGCTGCTGGATGGCAAGGTGATCCAGAGTGAACACATCTGAAGCTTGAGCAACCTTGGATCCAAGGTGAGGATCTGGAGTCCAAGCTGCAGACACTGTTCCACATAATTACCTGGACACTTTAATCCAAGAGGCAATCACAACCCTCAGATTAGTTCATTCACATTTGTTCTGCAATCAGGAGCAGGAGGCTGTGACTGCATGAGAGGTAGGCATGGGACCCAATGGATAGCTTTTGAGGAGCCTCAGCCCAGCAACTGTCCAACAGTAATGAGGTCTTTGCTGTGTGGACGAAAGCAGGGACTGCAGGGAGGCTCAGGGAACACACTATGGCAACATGATACAGGGAACCATTCAAGTGGAGGAGTCAATACGAATATAATATTGTCAGAGGAAGATATAATTAGGGATATAAATACTCTGCATCTATCAGCATGAATCCTGAAGGCTGCGTTGCCTGTGTGGTTCCACGTTAAGAACATCTCCTTAGGACTGAGGAACGTAGAGAGAGGGTAGAGGGATTCAGTTGTTGTCATCTACATTGATACCAACAACATTGATAGGACTAGAAAGAAGGATCTACAGAAAGATTTTGAACAGTTAGCAGCTAAACTAAAAAGCAGAACCTCTAAGATAATAATCTCAAGATTACTACCAGAGCCATGGGCAAATAAATATAAGGTAAATAAAGTGAAGTAACTAAATGTGTGGCTCAACGATTGATGTGTGAGGAAAGAGTTTCAGTCCAGAGGGCACTGGCACCAGTACTGGGTAGAAGGGAACTGTTACTGTGTGACAGACTTCACTTGAATAATGCTGGAATCAGTGTCCTGGTGAATAACTAGCACTGTACAGAAGGCATTATTTCAATTGGTGGGGTGGGAGGGAGATTGGGTGGGAGGGTCTGGAGATGAGACATGTTAGCTCACAAAGCAGAAGACTATGGCAAAATTGCAGGGCAGCTAATTAGACAATGATTCCCAGAGTGGGACTGCAATGGACAGAGTGCATAATCATTTTAGAAAAAGAGCAAATATGGTCAAAATGGCAACAAGGTCAAATTAATAGCACTTCAATGCACATAGTATGCACAAAGTACTCAGAAGAACATAAATGAATTATCTCAAATAGCATAGAATAGTAATTTGTTGTCACTTAATGGGATGATCTTATAACCACTATGGAGACACAGTTACAAGGAGATCAAATCTGGAAAACAAATATTCACAGGTTTGTGACTGTTCAAAAGGGGAAGCTTTAAAAAGCTTGGTGGTGGAGGCGTAACTTTGTGAATATGAAATGGAACACGTGCGATAGCAAGAAATGATCTTGCATTAGAAAATGTAAAATTATGGGTGGCAGTAAGAAATAACAATAGGGGAAAAAAAGATGCTAGTGGGAACATTCTGTTGTAAGCCCAGAAAAGGTTCACTAGATGATCTTGAATATGGAAGGATATTCTTCAGGAAAAATTGAGTAGATTGGGCATGTACTCCTTGGAGTTTGGAAGAATGACATGCAATCTTTTGAAAACATACAAGATTCTTAAGAGGTTGCAAGGGTAGCTGTGGAGAGGTTGTTGCTCCTTGTAGGAGAATCTGGGGCAAATGAGCATAATCTCAGAGTAAGGGAGTGCCCATTTAAGACAGACGAGGAAGAATTTGTTATCTTAGAGGGTGATGAATGTGTGGAATTCTGTACTGCAACGGGCTGCAAAGGCTGGTCTTATTAAAAACAAAATCTGTCCATCTAAACCTTGAATATTTTAAAAGTAAGGGAATCAAGGATTATGGGGAAAAGGCAGGAAAGTGGAGTTGAAAGTTTTGACATCAGCCATGGTCTGAATGAATGAGGAGAAGAGTTGAGGCCAATGGTCTACTTGTTGTCTTAAGTATTATGATCACTGTATAAACATAGTGAACTCAAACGTTTTGTGACTTGAAATACAGGGTAAAATCTTTTTAAGGCCATGTGACTTGGGCTATGGTGAAATTTGTGACAGAATCAGGCGAGAAGTTCACAAGGACCATCTCAGTGTCACGGGCATTTCATCGCATCTTTTATGCTTTTGCTGAGTGTTTTAGTAAGTTTGTCACGGAGTGGCATGATGCCAATTAAGGGGTTTCACAGCTTTTTAAAACACTGTACTGAAACCATAAGACATCATATTGTGCCTTTGTGTGCTTTTCCCCCTCAACCAGAGCTACCAGACTTATATTACTTCTGTCTTGCCTTGATAATTACCGCAGCCACAAAACCAGAAAGCTAGTCACGGTTGAGAGTAAGCCTCAATTCAGTCAAGAGAGATCATTTCAGGGGTCTCAGAACAGTAAATAAAGAACAGCCTCCAATACAGTCCAGGTGCTTGGACACTGTCAATTAGCTGGTTGGAGTGGTGAGAGTCAGAATCCTCTCCCCATAAATGGTGAGAAGATCCCACCAACAATCCTGACTCTTTCTGACCTAATGTAGGCTGTTGTCTTCTTGGAATGCGAGAGACGTAGGTTTTACAGGGCATGAAAGTGAAGTTGTAACTTTCAGCGCAGATGCGGACGTGTCCCAAGCAAGTGAGTGTGTAGAGCAGAGGGCATCAGGGTTGGAATATCGTAGGCTGGATGGTGACAGCAAGTGAAGGATTATTCTGTAGGCAACAGTGTGAGTGGTAGAGCATGAATCTTGGTGGGGGAGTGGGTACAATAGCAGAAATAGAAAGAGATAGCAAAATTACAATGAGGAGCAGAGATAAGATGGTAGCATTTACACTTGCAGAGTGAAGAAGGTTATTTACCTTCTTCCTATATTTCCAGGCAACCTTCAGATGGATGAGCCTATACTGACCCCGGTGGTAACCCCAGGTCAGGTTGGAATGGTCTGGTGTTGTTGCCTCCTCTGGTGCTCCTGGAGAAGAGGACATATTATGTCTGCACCATCCCTTCCACCAGGACCTCCACGTTCCTATGCATACAATGAGGTTCCAATTTCCCTTGTCTGGACTGAGACTGATGATAAGCCATATTCATATTGAATGCTGGAGCAGTTTTGAGGTGTCAAATGGCCTACTCCTGCTGCTACCTTCTATGTTTCTATGTTATCCCTGAATTCACTTCTAGCCCTATGAAACCTCTCTAACCCTCCAACTTTGACCTCTTGCCGTATTCCCAATTTTTGTGCACTCTGCCACTGGCAATTCAGCCTTCACTTACCAAGACTATCTGAAATGCCTTCCTGAAGCCCCTCTGCATCTTAAGTTTTCCTTTTGGGTGCTCCTCAAAACTTACTGCATCTGTCATGACATCTGTTTGTGTGGCCTGATGTCAAATTGTGCTTGATAAAGCCCCTATGAAGCCCCTTGTGATATTTTACTGAACAGAAGGTGTCATAAATATAAGTTGGTAATATTACTTAAGATTCCTCACAGTAGACATTCCAAATTTTCATCATGAAGTCAGCAGGGAAATTAGTTGCTTCCCCACAAAAAGAAGGGTAAATAGTGAGTGGACCAGCTCAGGTTAATTCTTAGTGCATGGTCACAGAAGTTCATGTAAATTGATCAATTCTGATATGGGCAGATGTTAGAAGCTGAATATCAAAAAGGAAAAACATATCTACTCTGAACAGGCGCTGGTACTCTTGATTCAAAGATAATCAATCTAAAGAGGCATTATACTTAAACGTTTCACCTTTAACAACATCTTGGGCTTACTTCTTCTGCAGGAGGTGGATACTGTAATAATTATTTTACCTCTACTTTATCAGTACTTAATTAATATAGGTTTATGACACTCATCAAGGCCCAGTGCTTACCTATCGGCTGTCCATTTCCCAAACAGTTGCAGTACAGGAGATCATGGGTAAGGCAATTAGAGTCTTCTTCTAGTTGGAAGAGATTTCGAAGTTCTTCTAAAGAAAAGCTGGCATGCTCACTCTTCTTTTTTAGGTCAACCACTGTTCCAGACAAACTTTGTTTACTGACCTGCCGCTGATAAATCTTCTCTTCTATGGTCCCTGTAATGGAAGAACGCGTTAAAATTTCTTTCCTGATAATGCACGTCTCATCTAAATGTCTTTTACCAACTGATCCCACCATGACCCATTAATATCATTACATATTGGCTAAGGTTAACCATCTAGCTGAACCATGTCAGGAAAATGAATAAATATTTACAAGCTTACAGGGAACAAGTGTGATGGTGGGATTAGCTGAGCAAAGAACCAATGCACACACAAGGCAAAATTGTCTTCTGATCAGCCGTAAATTTAAAAGATTCAATAGCTGCCCAATAATTATTGTTAGATAGATATCTTCTTTTCCTTACATACATTTACATCCACCTGAGAGACAGACTACATGTCAGTTAAGATCTCTCTCACTACTGCACTGGAGTACTAGTGCAGATTTTGTTCTGAGGAAGGGTCACCAGACCTGAAACATTAATTCTGATTTCTTCTTCACAGATGCTGCCAGACCTGCTGACCTTTTCCAGCAACTTCTGTTTTTGTTCCAGATTTTGTGCTCAAGTGGGACTTAAACCCATACCTATTTGAATTGGAGGCAAAATGTTACCAACAGTGGCAACTCACAGATCTGACAGAGCAGATCACTCTCTTCAGCCACAAGTTGTCTAATGCTCAGTAAGCATCAGAAAGGATAAAACAAAAAGAGTAAATACTGTTTTATTTCAGACCTCAATTGCAAGGCTCAAAATGACGCAGAATAAAAAGGTGGGACTTACCACATTTTATGTCTGTCGGTCAATCTTTATAAAAGGCACATCAGGACAAAAAAAAAAATCACCAAATAAATTTAAAATACTGTAGGCACATCCTGTCGGCATTAGAAAAATACCGCTTCTGAGGAAAATGCATTTTACTTAACCAATTGGAGTTTTTAAAGCCTAATTATGAAATCAAAATTTTACAATGTAATTAATCAGTGTTTTAAATGCCAGTATGTTTACTACTTCCATAAAACTAACTTAAAGTCAGTGAAAACCATGGAAAATATGAGCAAGCAGTGACATTTACTGAGACCGATGATGCAGCACGATGATTTAAAAATGAACTCAACTACTGAAAGTCACGCCAAATCATTTCAAAATCTGCAATTTTATGGTTTTAACATTCTTGGGGTGATTGATTTGTATTCACAGACAAAAGGACAGGGACAGATGCAGATGTAAAAGTGTTTGCATTTTCTAGTGATTTATGGAGGATGAAACTGCTAATTTGTCAGGAAACTTGGATTAACATCAACTGCAAAGGCTAATAAATGGAGTTTCCAGAGAGAGGCAATCTTCTCCATTTATAATTCAATTGATGTGTTTTTATTAGTGAGAAAAAGTTGCTACAATGAATAGCCATCAAAGTCTTTTTTTTAATAAAGCCATCAGTGTTTTGGTTAAAAGATTTCTAATGTTTGTAACTGTTTAGACAGAGGGTCATGAAAAATATTCAATTTAAAGCTCTATTTATCTGTTGCAGCCATACTCCATCTTGTGGCTGATTGTGGTAATAGGTTTTACACAGTAAAACAATTTGCTTGGAGTGAAGCTTTTTCAAATGAGGCATTCTCAATTTCTTGAAAATTACAGTCATTTTTCAAGTATGAATTTCAACACCTGCTCTTTCTGCTTTTGGAGAATAGACTTTTAGGATCTGGCTCCGCCAACTCTGACTCGGACATGAGGGTTGTGTGCTAGTCCGTAGTCCAGAGCATCTCTGGCAGGGTTCTTCCTCTTCTTCAGGTGGTAACAGTGTTGAGGCTGTATCCATCTCGGTCTCGAAGATTTCTTTGATACCAGACAGATGGGGAGACTCTGCCGAGATGCATCTCGGTACACACTACAGTCTGGTACACGCCGGCTGTGTCCGAGTCAGAGGAACTGGACCTGGGGCAAAAACATCCCAGGAGAAGCTACAAGAAAAAGAACAGCACCTCTGCCAGTCAACTTAATCTTGCCAAAACTCCTGACATGGATTTTACTGTTTCTCAAACTGTTAACATCTCAGAGTTTGAGGCGGCTTGGGCTTCTAAATCCATCTACTCTTGAAAGGTTTTAAGTATCTGGTGCCACGGGGAAAGTTAGGCTCCTAATGACCGAAAATGTTGCGGGTCCACTAGCAGTGAGAAGGATTACTGATTGCTTTTCATCTGTCCCAATGTCTTTCATCCAGAAAAAATAACATTTTTTCTACATACTAGGCCCCAGACAGCAGGATAAAACGAGTCAAGCTTCCCAAATAAAGGTGTGATGCCTGAAATGCTTACCGCAACTCAAAAATGACTGTTGCAGCAAATTTTCTTCAGGCGCATACTGTTTTCCCTCATCACCACTGAAATAACTGCACAGAGGCTGGTACCCCATCACCAAGTCACCCTTTATTTACTTGTGCACAGTACATGGTCTCTAGACAGGGTCTAGAGCCCGTCCCTAGAATGAGGAGACTCTCTGAATCTCCTGTTTGTATCTGCCAGCTGGGGCTCCCTGTTTGACCCAGGTGAACAAACCCAATAAAGGATCGCATAGTCAATGAGATCCACCTGACCTTCATTCCAATCACTCGCAAAAGCATAAGATGGAGTTCCACAGAAATTAGATTATATAGCTATTTCAAATGGTTGCCGATTTCTATGCACATTTACTTCATTCTTTATCAACAATTTACTAATGTATGCTTAAACATTAAATGAATAATATTGAAAGTTAACTAGTTATAATAAAGGCATGCACTCATCAGAATTCAGTGGATTTTTGGCAAGAAACAGTAATTTGAAGGAGGTTCTTATTAGCATAAAAACATGATGTGGAGGTGCCAGTTTTGGAATGGGATGGACAAAGTCAGAACTCACACAACACCAGGTTATAGTCCAACAGGTTTATTTGAAATCACAAGCTTTCTGCGCACTGCTCCTTTGTCAGGTGAAAGCTTGTAATTTAAAATAATCCTGTTGGACTATAACTTGGTGTCGTGTGACTTCTGAGTGTTAAAACCAATTTAAGAAAATTTATAACTGATAAATTATTGTGTAACTGGTTAGTACCAGTTCCTTAGTAATTACATTTTTGCAAGCCAACTTTGCTATTTTCCAGTATCCTTCACCAATTTTAATTCAGTGAAACACTTAAAGATGTTGCCATGAATGCCATTTGCATTTGGCTATTTCTTGAACGTTAGATCATTGATCAACCCTTATTTTGCCCATTTAACTCAAGAATCAAGGCAAGGCGCATCATAGGTATTTTAGGTATTCCAGATATAGTGATTGTAGCAAGGTCAGCCAACTGGACCTCAGAGTATGAATTCTCCGATCGGGGCTGTTAATCTGTTCAATCAGGGAGACGTGGCTGACATAAATGGATGAATAAAAACCGAAAGAACCGCGGATGCTGTAAATCAGGAACAAAAACAAAGTTGCTGGAAAAGCCCAGCAGGTCTGGCAGCATCTGTGAGGGAAAAAACAGAGTTAACATTTCGGGTCCGGATGCCAGGGATATTGAGTGCCTGGAATGCCTGACTCAGTGACAAATTGTCAAAGGCTATGCATTTTTAAATAAAGGGTGATTGGTGATGGGATGTCAATCTCCAAAGAGTTTAGGATTTTAAACAAAGCATAAACTGGTTTTTGCAGTTGAATAGATATCCAACCCATCGGATTGAGGATTTCTACGCAAAGCTGCCAGGATGTTTGTCCTTCACAAAGCTTGACATGAGCCACGCTTCCATTTACAGCAGGATTCTCAGAAGTACGCTACAATTAATACCCATAAGGCCTTATGAAACTGCAAATGGGTGTATCATCAGCCTGTATGATATTTCAGCAGATGATGGGGAACAATTTGCAAGGTCTACCTCAGGTCGCCATTTACCTAGATGACATCCTGATAACAGGGAGAACTAATAAGGAACCCTTAGAGAACTTGGATATAGTTCTAAGGCATTTTTCCGGGGCAGGCATACGCCTAAAAAGGGAAAATGTGTGTTCCAAGTGATCTACTTGGGCCAGAGGGTAACAAGACTGTGTTACTCCAGTTGGAAGATAAAGATGAGGGCAATTAAAGGTGACCTAGCCCCCATGTCTGTCCAGGAACTAGGGTCATTTCTGAGTCTGGTTAATTATTACAGTAAGTTCATACACAACTTGGCATCTATCCTAGCCTATCCTAGTACAATTACACCAACTCCTTAAAAACTGTCTGGAAAGACTCTAGCTTTCAATGAAGTAAACAACAGCGATCATCCTCTAATGAGTTGGCACACTAGGATCCCAAGAAAAATCTTGCTATTGACGTGCAATGCCTGCTCTTATAGCATCAGAGGGGTATTAGCTCATGGGTGGCCCACTGGAGAGGAATGCCCAAAAGCTAATGCATCCTGGACTTTGGCTAATGCAGAGCGTAACTATGCCCAAATAGAAAAAGAAGGATCAGCAGTCATATTTGGAGTCAGAAAGTTTCACCAATACATTTACGGGTGAAAATTTGTGCTAATCACGTACCATAAACTCCTACTTAGTCTGCTTAAAGACGATAAGGTGGCACCATTCATAGCTTCGGGCCACATTCAGCAGTGGGTTCTAATATAAAGTGCTTATAATTACAAATTAGAACATTGTCCAGCAGGCCGGGCAAGCAGCAAATGTGGATGCATTGAGCTGCCTTCCATTAGCAAATATGCCATGATAATGGAAGAGCTGCTCATGACATTGAACTTTCTGGCCACACTACCAGTTACAGTTAACAATATCAGAATTTGGACATACGAAGATGTCCTTTCCAACTGAAACAATTGGTACTAATGGGGGAAACCAAGGGGCTATCACAGGTAGAATTAAAACCTGTTTTGGACCGGGAGAGACCAGGATAGCATTTTGTTATGGGGAGCAAGAGTGATTGTCCCGAGCAAAGATCACCATCAAATACTGGCTGAACTCCACTAGGGCTATCAGGGGTCTCCAAAATGAAGATGTTGGCTAGAAATTATGTCTGGTGCCCAGGCTTGGAAGCAGATATATTCACTTTTGTGGAGAAATGCCTAGAATGCCAACAAGGAAAACAATTACCACCAGCACCTTCTCCACATCCATGGAAATGGCCAGGTAAACCTTGGATTTGGTTGTATGCTGACTAGGCAGGCCCTTTCATGAGTTCAATGTTTTTAGTCATTGTAGACGCCCATTCTAAGTGTTTGGACGTGCAAAGAGTCCATTCATCAAATACTGTAGTGACGATAGAAAGATTGCACACATCCTTTGCGACACACCGAGTCCTGGAAGTACTGGTCACAGATAACAGACCATTGTTTACCAGCAGGGACTTCAGTTGCTTCTTAAAGTTGAATGAGATTCAACATATTAGGACCATTCTGTACTCTCCAGTGACTCGACAGAAAAAGCAGTCCAAACTTCAAAGGCTGGGCTGAAGAAACAAATCCAATAAGGATCTTATTTGATTATAGGACCACCCCACTTGCAAATACAGGGATAGCACTGGCACAGATGCTAACATATAGAAGACTGCGCACCAGTCTGATCTTCCCAGAACTGGGAGAGGGGCGGCAGGGTGAAACAGCATCAGGAACTCCAATGCTGAACCCAAGGCTCCTACCAAGCAGAAGAGACATTTTGATATGGGGGACAAAGTTTGACACAAAGAATCATGGAAATGGCCCTGCATGGTTAAGAGGAATGATCGACATGAGAACAGGACCAATGACGTACAAAGCTCAGGTAGGTGCAACTGTCCTGAATAAGCATGTGGACCATTCGAAAGCTGAAAATTTGCAGGCTGCATGGAAGCAAAACTGGCCCTGTCCCTGGGAGCCTTCAAAAATACTTCAGGGACCCGGTGTTTCAACATCTCCATCAAACATTGTCGAAGCCTCTGATCAGAGGCAGATATGACGGAAGTAGCTGCCCCAAAACTTCTATCTCGAGAGAAGGAAATGAAAGTCTGTGGAGGTGCTCCAGGTGCAAGAAACGAGCTCCCATTCGTTACATGCCTCCCATGTTGGATTCCAAGTTGGAGAAACCTAACCTGGTGTTAAAATGCCCCAGGAGGCTCTCAAAGGAATCAACTGCACTGTGTCCGTGGGCTCATAGTGGGAGGGATGTATTGATTGTAAATGAGGTCAGCCAGCTGGGACCTACTGGAATGTGAATTCCCTCATAGGGAATTCCCTCTGGTCCAAATGGGGAGAACTGGCTGACATAAAAGGATGAATGTCAGAGACAATGCCTCTGGAACAAAAACAGAAGTTACCGGAAAAGCTCAGCAGCTCTGGCTGCATCTGTGAAGAAAAACGTCAGAGTTAACGTTTCGGGTCCGGTGACCCTTCCTCAGAAGTGGAATGCCTGACTCAGTAAGAGGCACTGCAGTTGTCAAAGGCTTTGCATTTGTAAATACAGGGTGATTGATGATGGAATGCTGGCCTGTACAGAGTTATTTTAATAGGGTAATTCCACATTTCTGGACTACTGACTGTGAGACTGCTCTCATATCTCCATCAACATGAACACTGGCAAAGGGGAACACAGGATATCAAGTAGGAAGAGGAAGTTGATTTTACTCCTCACTAGTACATGGGTAACATAGCTATCTTTTATATATTTTCTAACCAACTTTTTCAGTGATGTATTATACACGCCTGGAGCAGGTAGGAGTTGAATCCATGCCTCCTGACTGAAGATTTTATCAAATAGTTTCTGACAATCAGTCAGTTATGGTCATTGGGTAGCCTGTAACATCCAATTTACTTTGTCACAGATCCACTTATGATCTTACTCCTAAAACCTTTGTAACTACGTGTTATGGTTACTCTGCTCCTGAGACTAGTATCCCACATATCTGAAGGACAAAACCCATGCTTTCCATTGTCACAGCACTACACATAGCTTCTGTAATACCTTGCATCACTGTTTCATGCAATAAAATCTTCAAAAAAGGTTACCTCTGTTGGTTAACGGAAAAAAATTATGTTCAGGTTATTGAGAGACAATTCAAAACAACACCTAATTTTTAAATTTAGAACTTAAGTCTGTTAACTTTCAGCTAGCATTTGAAGGGGCATCAATACTCAAATTGCAGTTAAAACTTATAATTGCGAGAACTATTAATTATGGAATAAGGTGTCAAAACAAACCTGTTGTTAGTAGTCTGTAAATATGCACTGGTCTCTTTTGACCATCTCTCCACACTCTGGCCATAGCCTTGAGGAATAGAAGCACATAAAATTAATGGTTGCAATGAGTAGCAGCCTTCAAATCTGTGTGTGCATTAATGCTCAAATACATTGCATTGGTAGTAGTGGACACAGGTGAAATTAGCTCTAAGGGTAGGCTGCTTTCTTAGCACATGAGAGATAGTGGAATCAATGCTCACATTCTCCACTTTGGCAAGTTCAATTAAGGCATTTAAAAGGGAATTAGATAGTAATTGAAAAAGAACTGGGAGAAGGCAGGATAATGGCACTAAATGAGGTGTTCATTTGAACATCTAGCACTGATACATTGGAAAACAAGACAAGGAGTAGGCTGCTCAACCCATCAAGCTTAGTCTGCAATTTTGTTAGATCATGATTGGTCTTCTGCACTGTAAGAAATCTGTAATTCTCGTGGTGCAACATTGACTTTTTTTCCCAGTGTTGCTAATGTCAGGTCATGAAGTTTGGAACTATACTAAAAAATATCCCCGCTGTTATCATACCTATGTACAGATCTCTCATTTATTAGAGTTGATCTGTCTCTGCATCTTCTCTGTAGCTGTAACACTACATTCTGCATTCTGTTCAATTACCCTGATGTAATATCTCGGTACGTGTGACAACAAATCAAATCAAACATAGGAGATGAGGTTCAGTGCAGAAAATGCAAGATGATTGATTTTAGTGGTAAGAATGAGGAGAAATAAGGCACAATAAATTGTACCAGGGGAATGGGTGAACAGAAAGGTCTGGGTGTGTTTGGGCACAAATCCTTGAAGGCACCAGGGCAGGTTAACAAAGTATATGGAACTATAGGCTTTATAATTAGAAACAGAGTACAAAAGCCAGGAACTTATGTTAAACCTTTGTACAACACTAATTCGCCCTCAGCTGGTATTGCATCAGAATCTGGGCACCACACTTTGAGAAGGAAAAAAAGATTTAATATAACTTTTTCACAATACCACATTGTAGTGGTGGATTACTTCCAGACATATTGAACTTTGAAGTAAAATAATAAAAAGGATATGTAGCCCAAAGATGGTTGAAATTGTGATTCAGTGACTGACAAAGAACTTCTATGTGGATCACACCAAGCTCAAGAGAAACCATGGAATGTTGCACCTGGACAACTATCCATCTAAGGTGAACAGCCACGCAGCCTCTCGAAGTGCATGTGTACCCAACTGGCGTGTCACACCCTTCAAAGCGTTGACTTCTGGTTTCAGAAGGTGCTGATGTGCACGGACTTTGGAAGTCAGCACAGATGAACACAAAGTTAGAGAGAACACAGTGCCTGGAAGGGTGTCAAGGTATTTGAGAAAGACACTTTAAAGAAAGAGATACAATGCAAAAACCTGAAACATCTCCTGTGAGTTATATCCCCAGACTGTAAATATAACGACTGGTAAAAGAAAACAAATTGAACAAAAGACATGTATTCCTGCCAAAAGACACAACAGCAGGGGTTAAAAAAAATTGCTGCTCTGATGTGTGCGTTCTAGTACTGGAGTACTAATCTGGTGTTCTAGTGCCACTGGGTAACAGTGCACTCTGAAGGGAACAGATGAAAACATCTAACAGACTTTGCTGTGCTTGCAGGCAAAAAGGAAAAGGACAAAAGGATGTTGAGGCTTTAGTCAGGGTGCAGAAGAGGTTTAGCAAGATGCTGCCCTGATTAGAGGGTATGAGCTATAAGGAAAGGCTAGAAAAACACAGATTGTTTTCTCTGTTGGAGCCTGAGGGGGAGACTTGATAGAAGTCTATAAAATTATGAGATGCACAGATGGATTGACGGTCAGAATCTTTTTCCCAGAGTTGAAGCATCTAATACTAGGGGGCATGCATTTAAGATGAGAGGGGGAAAATTCAAAGGAGATGTAAGGGGCAAGCTTTCTTTACAGAGAGAATGGTAGGAGTCTGGAATGCTGGCAGATGTGGTGATGGAGACAGATATGATGGGGTGTTTAAGGGATTTTTAGATAACCACATGAATATGCAGGAAATGGAGGGATATGGACCAAGGGCAGGACGTAGGGATCAGTTTAATTTAGCGTCATGTTCGGAACAACATTGTGGGCCAGAGGGCCTGTTCCTGGGCTGTACTGATTTATGTTCTATGTTTTATGCCATAAAGTCTTCCTCTCTCGGATTGGTGGGAGCAAGTTTCCATACAAAAGCCAGTCGACCAGGAAACTAGACAAATACTTTCAGATAATCTACTCCAAAGTTTAGACAGGGCATGGTAGAAAGTAGATCTTATCTTCACCCTGGAATTATTCACTATAACAAAAACTGAACATGTCATGAACTGTTAGCACACTATTAATCACAAATAGTTTCAGCCTCAAAAAATTAGTGAGTTCATACAGTATTTATTACAAGAACATTCCTGTCTATATTTCTCGTCGAGATACCTGAACATCATTTGCAGGATTCCAATCGATATCATACAGAACCAACCGAGATGCTCCAATTAGATTTAATCCAACTCCGCCAGCCTTTGAGCTGAGCAGGAAGATGAAACTCTGGCCATGTTTGCTATTAAATGAATCCACAATTTTTTGTCGCTGGCTGACAGCGGTTTGTCCATCCAGTCGGGTATAGCTATACCCAAAACGCTTGCACATTTCTTGCAGTATATCTAATGTCTGAGTATAATTTGAAACCAGCACAACTCTGCAATGGAGAAAGTTAAAATAAATAACTAAACAATGGCGTGCTGTGACAACTTTTCATTTATAAACACACTTAAGAACTTGCACAAATACGCTGTACTAATATAAGTGTGAACCTTTTATAGAAAAATAGAATCCTGACGAAGAACTTCTAATGTTATGATAATAGTTAAATGTTAATTAATAATATCTGACTTCCATCATTAGATTTTAATACCCAAGATCTTCATGGACTAAAAATGGTTTTAAGGAGGACAAGTACTGATCTAAAATAGCTGCTGTGATCACCTGACTAGGTTTGGCCAAGCTTATGAAACCAAAAGTTAATAAGGATCATTTCTAGCCGAAGGCCCAGAAATTCCGATCAGGGTCAGAAACTCTATTTCTGACCTTAAGACAGAAAGAAACAAATGTATATGAATGATTTCCAAAATTTCCTGGACAGGAGCCATCTGTTACACTTCAGGGAAGACCTGTCCAGGAATCCTTGCAGCCAGCAGGGGAGGGTCACCATCAAAATCACCCCCTATTGCAGCACTAAGTGATTTAAATGTCTAGCAGCTCTGCCAGGCACTCAACTCCTGCAAAAGGGTGAGTATGCAACACACGGGATTAGAATGGCAAGTAGCTGGGGTAGACTGGCAGTTGGGTGAGGGGGGTGAAGAGTGACTACTGGGCGGATGTATGTTTAGGGTTAATTGACAAATTGGTCTTAGGGAAGCGGTCCAGTCACACTTAGTGTGGGGGTAAGCAAGGGATGGGTAGGTTGTCAGGTTAGCTCCCAGGGCAGGGAATGAGGGGAGCGTCCAGTAGGATCAGGTTAGAGATCTAGATTTAGGAATGAACAAGTGGACATTTATCAACAATTGATAAAAGCACCAATAGAGACACTAGGAAAATGGATTTGCAAGCAAAAGTTGAAAGACACGTTTTCATCTTTCTATCAAATTCAAAAACCAATAACAAGTGAAAAGGCAACTTAGCAACTTAAATTCAACAAGAAATCAAGTTTATCTGCAAGATTCATCACTCCTAAGGAGACCAAACAACAGCTGAACAGTTAAGATTTCACACAGGCAACGAAGGACTGTAAGAAGCTTTAAATTGCAACAGTTTTTTATTTTCCAGTCCATAGACACCCTCCCACCTTCTTCTTTTCATCCAGTTAGGTGTGTTGTGTTTTGTTTTGTGTGTTAGATAGCATGTTTTCTTACATATCTCAGGTTTAGTAGCTTAGAAAATTTCACACTCACTAACCAGATCCTCGGAATTGGCACTCCTTCATTTTCAATCTGGTTAGCAGTTTAATTGAAATGTGATGGTTATGTGCTAAAAAATAAAGAAAATGCTGCCACCTACTGAGAAAGGTAGCCAATCACTCCTCCAACACCTTGTTGTGACATTAACAAAAAAAACCCATTAGGGCATTTTACTAACTTGCTCTCCCAGTTCAGCAGTGGAAGTCAGCAGGTTCTGCAGAACTCTCAATTCATCAAAATTAATGGCTCAAACATCCTGCAGGAGACATGGGCTGTTGTGTTTGACACAGGGCACTGAGATTAGAAACCACCTCTGCAAATTTATAACTTTTATTTATGATGCTTATGATTAAGGTACACCAAAAACCAACTTCAGTAAAACACTCAACACAAGAACATAGAAGACATGGTAAGTTTGAGGACGACACGAGAATTGGTGGCATAGTAGACAGTGAAGAAGGTTTTCTAAGATAATAAAGGGATCTTGATCAAATAGGTCACTGGGCTGAAAAATGGCACATGGAGTTCAACCTGGATAAATGCGAGGTATTGCATTTGGTACAACAAACAGGGGTAAGACATATACAGTTAAGGATTGGGCCTTGGGTAGTGTTGTAGAACAGAGGGACCTAGGGGTTCAGGCACTTAATTCTTTGACGTTGCATCACATATAGACAGAGTGAGTAAAAAGGCATTTGCCTTCATTGCTCAGTCCTTTGAGTATAGGAGTTTGGAAGTCATGTTGAGGATGTACAGGACATTGGTGAGGCCTCGTTTGGAGTACTCTGTCCAGTTCTGGTCATCCAGTTATAGGAAGGATATTATTAAGCTGGAGAGGGTTCAGAACAGATTTATCAGGATGTTGCCAGGTATGGAAGGTTTGAATTATACAGGAAGGTTGCATAGGCTAGGACTTTTTTCACTGGAGCATAGGAGGTTGAGAGGTGAACTAAAAAAAGTTGATAAAATCATGAGGGGTGTAGGAAGGGTTAATGGTAGGTGTCTTTTCCCTGGGATGGGAGATTTCAAGACTAGGGGCACATTTTTAAGGTGAAAAGAGAGAGATTTAAAAAAAGACATGAGGGGCAATTTTTTTACACAGAGGGGTGGTTTGCATGTGGAATAAACTTCCTGAGAAAGTGGTGGATGTGGTCATAGTTACAACATTTAAAAGACATTTGGTTAAGTACATGAATAGGAAAGGTTTGAAGGGACATAGGCCTGGAGCAGACAGGTGGGACTAGTTTAGTTTGAGATTATGTTCAGCATGGACTAGTCGGACGGAAGGGTCTGTTTTTGTGCTGTATGATTCTATGACTTCATTTTATAGAGGTTGTAATGTTACTGGGACCATATCGAAATACAAACCATTTACCTTTTGCATACCTTACTTATTTTATTTTTCCTTGGCTTTCATTTGAACGAAGATTTTGTACAGAGGATAATAAGGCTGGATGAATTTTTAGTTGAATTTACACTGGTACAGATAGATTCATAGGCCCAGATCTTGCTGTCTCCAGAAGTTTAAACTTCCAGCGTGTTGTTGTGACCTGTACCTGTCTATGTAAGGTGGCTTGCACCTGAACACGCTAAGCGGCCCATGCCTGCTTTCAAGATGGCAGACAGAAGCTAAGCAAAACTAAGCAGCCTGCTCTCACAGTGAAATACAATGGTACCTTTGAACAGAACTGCCAGAAGGTCAGTAAAGGAACACTGTATGTTCCCATTCAAGACAGTTCTGATAAAAGGATGCCTTAGGACAGATAAATGACCAATTCTGGCCTTATTAATGAAAGGGTGATTGTCCCAGTAAATGAATAATGTTGGGTGCTAGATTGCTATACTTGCAGCTGCAAGTATAATAGCTAAAGTTATTTTGTAGTAAAAAGTTGCCTCTTTCAAGCTACCAACAATATTAAATAGTTTCTAGCTAAAAATACTCTAACCGTAGAAGTTGGTTTCAATACATAACCAGGATATAAAACAAGCCTTAAAAAACATTTAAGCTTAGATGTAAAGATTAACTAGCCTTAGCAGACACCTCTTATGCCCTGAACAAGATAAATTGATCACAACCCATAAATTACAAAATGCTGACAGTAGAAGTAATTGTATAATGTTAACACTCATAATTAACATTATAACAGAAGTTAACCTTATAGCAATTAGTTAAAACTAACTGACTTTTTATTTGTACATTATGCAATTGGGACAGTGGGAAAATAATAGGAGTAACTGAATGTGATAAAAGACAGCAACAAAATACAACAGGGTGATAGAATTTGAGCTGTCCTTACAGATAAACAAGCCTGAGAAAAACCCGAAGGAGTATAGCCATTAAACTTTTGGAATGCGAATGAATAAGATACATAGGAAGATCCCAAGGCCTAGAGATTACAATGTCTAGCTAATACCATAAGATCATGGGAACTGGGGGCTGTCCATGGAAGTGCCCATCACTGATTAGGTGTCCCACAGGACTGGGTGTTTGAATTAAGGGGAAGGATGATGACTACATTGTATTTGATAACTATAACACAAAATGTATAAAAATGCTGCATTTCTTTGTGAAATCAGAGGGTGTGATATTGATCTATCTTTTGAAGCTAGATTCAGGGGAAGATCCTTCGGCCATCTCCCTGCATAACCAGTTTCTGCTTGAATAAACATCTTCCACTTGCCTGAACGCTGCCTGCCTCCTGAGTCTTTGTCCCGGATTGGAAAAAATGCTCCTACCCAGTAGCATTTGGAAACCTTCAAAAATATAAAAATAACCCTAAACCCTGGCTAACTATAAAACCAACACCATCTCCCCAACCCCTATGAAGACCCGATCTGACCATACATCTCTACCAACTGACTCCACACTCCCACCCACCTCAGACTCAACCCTTCTCTCCCCTTCAGACCTAATCCAACTCCACCCTTCCACCAAACCTCACCCAACACACACTGTCACCAAACCACCTTATCACACACTGCCATCTTCTTACCTACTCACCTGAAACACACTAATTCACTAACACAAGCAAGAGCTATTTAAATGTTCCACAACTGTTCAACATGAGAGTAAATTAATGAACCTACAACCTAATATTCTAGTAACAAAACAGTGTGGCAGGTACAAAGGCAGCAATCCAACAATGATGTGCAGGGCTGGATGAACACAGCAGGCCAAGCAGCATCATAGGAGCAGAGAGGCTGACGTTTCTGATGAAGGGTCTAGGCCCGAAACGTCAGCCTCTCTGCTCCTATGATGCTGCTTGGCCTGCTGTGTTCATCCAGCCCTGCACCTTGTTGTCTCGGATTCTCCAGCATCTGCAGTTCCTACTATCTCTAATCCAACAATGATTACTACTCTTGGACGATTCAAGCTATTATTCTGCTAAGACATCCACTCAGCTCCCTCATTTGGCCAGCTTATCTATAGCTCAACCTCATTATAATTTTTTTATCCAAAGATGTACACAAGCTCTGTATCAAATTATTGCCTTGTATACATTTCAACGAAATAAATCAACATGACAATCCACAGTGTGCATTTATAGAAATTTTTAAATCAACCTGTGCAGGCATATTATGGCACGTAGGCAGATGGGACTTGAACCCAGACCTTCTAGACCAGAGGTAGGCCATACAACTGCACCACAACAGTCCTTACAACTTGCATTTATGTAATGCCTTTAATGTAGCAAAATGTAGGAGAGTGTCATTAATACAAAATATTTTTGATACTGAGCCA